AGTAGTAGTGGTAGTAGTAGTAGTAGTAGTAGTAGTAGTAGTAGTAGTAGTAGTATGCGTATATATATATATACTCTTGTTATTCCTATGTTTTTTTTCTTCTTCTGGTCCTAATTACCTCTGGTCCTGGCCGCGGCACCCCTCCTCCTCCTCCTCCTCCTCCTCCTCCTCCTCCTCCTCCTCCTCCTGGTCATCCTCCTCCTCCTCCTCCTCCTCCTGGTCCTCCTCCTCCTCCTCTTCCTCCTCGCTCCTCCTCGCTCCTCCTCGCTCCTCCTCCTCCTCCTCCTCCTCCTCCCCTCATCCTCATCCTCCTCCTCCTCCTCCTCTCCTCATCCTCCTCATCCTTCTCCTCGCTCCTCCACCTCCTCGCTCCTCCTCCTCCTTCTCCTCCTCCTCCTCGCTCCTCTTCCTCCTCGCTTCTCGCTACTCTTCCTCTTGCTGCTGCTCCTCCTCCTCCTCCTCCTCTTCCTCCTCCTCCTGCTCCTCCTCCTCCTCCTCCTCCTCCTCCTCCTCCTCCTCCTCCCTACTCCTTCCTCCTCTCTCCTCAAGGGGTGGCAGGCTCGCCAGGGGCGACAAGGCCAGAGAGGCATGCGGTCATCCTCGCGCCAGCGGCATGCGGTCATCCTCGATGTATGCCCCGAGCCCGACTCTCACTTGGGTGCCGCCCGCCCGGAGCGCGTGGTCATCCTCCTCCTCCTCCTCCTCCTCCTCCTCATCCCCCCCTTCTCCTCCTCCTCCTCCTCCTCCTCCTCCTCCTCCTCCCTCCTCCTCCTCCTGCTCCTCCTCCTCTCCTTCTCTTCCTCCTCCTCCTCCTCCTCCTCCTCCTCCTCCTCCTCCTTCTGCTCCTTTCCTCCTCTCCTTCTCTTCCTCCTCCTCCTCCTCCTCCTCCTCCTCCTCCTCCTCCTTCTGGCATGCCGTGGTCCGCCGGGCGCCGTGTGCGGGCGTGCCCGGCAGCAGGCCGCGCAGCGGCTAGGTCGGGCATGTCCCCCTACAGGCGGATTTTGTGCGAAAAATAAGAATTACTCCGACGGAAGGGCCCCACATGAGAATCCTCTGGGCGAATCTGGAAAAAGCGCTCACCGTCGTCCTCGTGGTTGGTGAGGCGTCCTGGCTGTCTCTTCTGCGTATATTTCTTCTCGCCCTGGCGCGGGCCCTCCCCCCGCTCCCTACGTTGCCCCCGACCTCGCCTCCTGTTTTTTTTTCGCGCCCCACCACCTCCTCGCCTTTCCATTGCATGAGCGCGCATGTCGGTTTTCCTCGGCGCCGTCGCCGCCTCGGCCAGCACAGCACAGCGGGAATAGCGCTTTGGGAACACGACGAACACAAAGTGGCGTACAGTTGGCTCCGGACATTCAGAATGTGGCCCGGGAGTGGTGTTCTGGGAACACGAAGAACACGAAGTGGCCTACAGTTGGCGCCGGGCATTCAAAATGTGGCCCGGGCATGGTGTTCTGGGGGCACGAAGAACACGAAGTGGTCTACACTTGGCTCCGGGCATTCAAAATGTGGCCTGGGAATGGCGTTCTGGCAGCGCGAGAGCCCAAAAGTGGCGACAGTTATAGGAATTGGATGACCCGCTCGGATTAGTAACATGATCCGCGGGCCCCATAGGGAGTGGACTCTCGCTTGAGACTTCCTCGCAATTCACTCACAGACGAAGCCCAAGGCGAGTGAGTGAGTGAGTGACTGACTGACTGACTGACTGGTGATGATGATGATCATCACATTCTCTCACGCGCACTCATCATCATCATCTTCATATGTGAGTTCATGAGCGTGTGAGTGAGTGAGTGCTGGTGAGTGAGTGAGTGAGTGAGTGAGTGAGTGAGTGAGTGAGTGAGCTAGTGAGTGAGTGAGTGAGCGCACGAAGACAGAAGAGGAGAGGGGGTGAGGTGAGGAGGTTCCTGCGCGGGGTGTCCAGAGAAAACAAGAACCCCACTTTGAATGTGGGGAATTACCCCCCACTGTCCTCCCCAAATGCTAAAAAATCCCAAAAGTTGTCCCCAGATTATCTCTTGATTATTTTTGGACTTCCCCCTGCTGAGGGACAGTCCCGACCTAGCGCTGCGCGGCCTAGCCCCGCCGCTGGCCTCTCAGATCCAGGCCTCCTCGATGGGATCGGAGCGGATGGGGTCGGAGGATCGCGCCGCACCGCCGATGCAGCTCGATGTGGAGCCCGACTTCCTTCAGGAGGGAACAAAAACAGACACAATGAATCGTCGATTCCCCAGAAAATATGGGAGGATATGGGAAGTTGGGGGAAGACAAAAACCCAGAAGCTATGGGAAAATATGGGGTATCTGGTTATTTGTATATATTTATTTGTGTGTCCCAGTCCCCCTTTATTCCTTCACGTCGAATTTGCTGATGCATCGTCCACGTCGACGATACATCGCCGGCGCATCGCCGATGCATCGCCGACGTATCGGCGTTGCGGCGTGAGCCCCCGACCCCATCTACTCCGACCCCATCTAGGAGGTCTCCGTCACATCTGAGGACCGGCCAGGGACTGGTCGGGCACGCGCGCTCCCTGCTCCAGAGGTCGCGGCTCTCGGTCGATGTCGTCGCTTGTCGTGGCTCCCTCGGGGAAGTCGCCCGGCGTGCCTGCCCCGCCGCTGGCTTCCTCGGCTCTGAGGACCGGCCAGGGACTGGTCGGGCACGCACGCCCGCTGTGCCACAGGCTGCTGCTCTCGGTGGACTGTGGCTTGTCTTGGCTCCCTCGGGGAAGTCACCCCTGGCATGCCTGCGCGATGAATAACTAATGCCAGGAGGGAAAAGAAACAGACACAATTAATCGTCGATTCCCCAGAAATATGGGGAAATATGGGAAGTGGGGGGGAAAACAAAAACCCAGAACATATAAGAAAATATGGGGAACCTTTTTATGTGTGTGCATTTATTTGTGTGTCCTGGGGCCTCTTCATAATGGTCCGTGGGATACACAGCAGGGCCGCGCCGTGTCCACTGTCGCTGCCGCGCGAATCCTTCACACCGCACTCGGGCACTTGCCCGGGTCGGGTGTTCCTGGAAGTGCCCCCAGCCCGAGGTGCCCCCAGCGTCTCGCCCCACTCTGGAGCCCCTTGGGGGCGCTCCGGGCCTCGTAAGGGGGTGCTCTGCCCTGACCTTCCAGAGAGCTATTTTTGAGCACTGGGGGCCAGAGAATAAAAAAAACGAAACGAAACAGCCTAAAACCAAGACATAGAATAGCTCTGGGATAGGTTTTTAGGTCGGGTGCTATTTTTTAGCCCTCCTGGAAGGTCAGGGTGGAGGCCGTGGGGGCCTCCTGCACCTGGGGCCAGGGGCACTTCTGGCAACACCCGACTGGGGGAGGGGGCGGCGATGGGGTGTGCTGGGAGGCGCCCAGTGCGGACCATGGAGTGCTCTGTATGGTACGATGCTCTTTCGGGAACAGGCCAGGACGTGGTCAAGTAATTACTTGAGCGCATGTTGGGCTCGATCTCATCATCACGATGCCAATCTTAGGGATTCCCTTATTTTTGAGGGCGCATCCCTAAGATTGTCATCGTTTTTTAGCGTGACAATCTTAGGGATAGGGATAGGTTCGAGGCTGGTAAGAGAGGCCGAGTAATTAGAATATCAGGCAAAACGAGCAGGGGGTCACGCACATAAGGCAGGGTGTGGTCGGCCTGCTGTGGTGGTAGCTCCGCAGAGTCCGCCGTCCTCTGTATGCAAAAGGCTCTGAGCACACGTGAAGAGACTGCTACGGGATTCGGATCATGTGGCAACTGTGTGCCACACGCGCTGAGCAGCGGCGCAAAGCGCCAAGGCCCAACAGCCAAGTGCGGAACGCGAACGGCCCAAACACCAGCCAGCGGCGTGCCACCCGTGTCGATGACAGCCAGTCGTGAAGGAAAGTCCGTATGTGAATCATAGGTTATGCCGGGTGCCGCGACCTCCCGCCATATCCTGATCTTCACGGGACCCGAGTAATCTGTGCAATAGTTCGCAAGTGATGTGAACATTCGAATGAGTTGCGCCTTATTGTGGCGAGCTTCATCATTATGGAAGATATGTAAGATATTGCGAAGATCGCAAACGCAGGCAAGGACGGGCCGACAGAAGACGGGCCGACAAGGCACGCGAGGCAAGCCGAGGCGAAGCCGAGAGGAAGACGAACCAGGAGAAGCAGAGGAGAGGAAGAAGAGAGACACGTGACAAGACAAGGACCGACCAGGCCAACGGATGGAACGGGAGGGGAAGGAGAGAGAGGGGGGGCGACAAGTTGAGGATAACCAAGAAGACATCACACCAAGGGATAGGCAATGTACACGGAGAGGAAAGAGGAAGGGAGCCGAGGAAGAGCAAAGCAGCTCAGGTCTGAGGACACGCATGTGCGATTCGCCATGGCCTCTTCGTCGCATCGGTCAGACAATCGCCTCTCTCTGCACACGTGTTCGTTTTCGGATTCGTTGTTTTCCCGATCGGCGCGGGCCCTCGCGCCCCCCCGATGGAGTAGCTCTTGGCCGTTTGGGGCGCCTGCTCCAAGCAGGAGTACGGCCCCCCGTAGGATTCCCCACGGGAGCACTGTTCCAAACAGTCGCACTAAGCAGAGGTCCAGAACCACACACACTCCTCTCTCCCCGATGACGGAGGCGGAGGCGGAGGAGGAGGAGGAGGAGGAGGAGGAGGAGGAGAAGCGGACTCCACCTCCTTCCGCTCAATGCCGAAACGACGAGCAACAGAAGACGTTCACACCATATCCCGGAGGCGAGAGGCCAGGAGGGCGCGCAGGGAGCTCTCGACGTGGAGTTCCTTTGCGGTCACTGCTCGTCCAGCCACTCTCAGGAGGGAAAGAAACACACAGACACCATTAATCGTCGGCTCCCAGGAAGATATGTGGAAATATGGGAAGTGGGAGGAAAGACACGAACCCAGAACATATGGGAATATATGGGGAATCCTGTTAGTTGTTTGTATTTTTTGTGTGTCCCAGGGCCTCTTCACACTCGCGCTCCAGGTCCCCCTTCGGCGCAATGCCCCGCAGCTGGTCCCCTCCTGGCTGTTTGAGCAGAACCGACATACCGATGTGCTTTAAGAGCTGGTTGGTTTGTGCTGCCCTGCTTGGAGTTCACAACCAGTTTCTTGTCATGTCATCGCGCGTGCGGGCTTTCTCCAGGTAGGAGTACTGCACCTCTGCGGCGACTTTCTGGCAGGTCTGAAGGCGGGGGCGCTTCGTCACCGAGTCGGCGCAATGCTTCTCCACGATCGCCAGCCGCTCTTTCGCGGTCTCTCCAGCTGCCCTGAGCTTCTCCAGGGCGGTTTTGCACATCGCGTTCCAAGCGTGAACGTTCGGAAGCCCCACGAGCTTGGTGACCTCTCTGGATTGTGTGCCTCTCTCCCGCAGTTCCTTCGCCTTCTGTTCGAAGCCTGTCGTGGCTTGGCGCATTGACGAACTGAACGACGAACCTGTCCTGAGCCGGAGGGCCATCAGAAGGATTGCCTGGAGAGCCCTGTGCTGCTGGAGCGAGGATAAGTAAGCCTTCGCAAAAAGCGTGAGAAGTTTTTGGTTGCGCTTGTACATTGCGACCATGATTCTAGTGTTGTGGAGGACGATCAATGGAGAGGAAGCATGTTGCCAATTAATTTTCAGATGTCTGAAACATGTTTCAAACATGTTTTGAATATGTAGAAACATGTTTAGAGCATGTTTTACACAGTTTAAACACATTGTTGATTCAATGATCGGATTTTTAGGGCGTCCATTGTCGTGGCATCCGCAATTCTAGCGGCGGCTCGACTGTCTGCTTGGGCCGACCTGCCCCCGGCGCCCAGCTCGATCCCCAGGTCCGTGGCCGTGCTCGGAGTAGATCGGTGCTACAAGTTCCCAGTGCCCCTCGAAGGAAACGTGCTGACGGAGATGTATGTGGTAAGAGATGAGGTCATCACATTGGGAATCCCACAAAGGACCAGAAAGGTCAGAGACAGGGATGGGGGGAGCAGGGAAAAGAGACGCAGCAAGATAGCAACGACCATAGTAGGAAGAACTACGAACACGACGAACAGCCGGATTCCGACTCTTGAATATGGAGGCGCACCACGGGCAGACGTTCGTCTTAACCAACGAAACCAAGCTATGCCTGTCCGGGTGGTCCCCCGCATTCCTTCGATGGGTAACCAAGGCCGCCTTGGACGAGAACTCCGCCCCGCAGACGGCACCATCCAGGATCGCTTCGCAATCCGCAAACAACGGCACGGCCGGAAGATGAAGGGGGAGCACCCAACCAAGGGAAGGACCGAGACAGTCAGGTATCGGCGCTTCACATCAGAAACATTGATAGCACAAAATGCTTCAGCCAAATCGTGCTCGCCCAAAACAAACGGTCAGCAAATGATGGACTCAGCAACCCAAGCACCATCATCAACGTCACGCAATCAATCGATGTCACGTATCAGCTGGCGCATCCAAGGGTGCGTAGGTCCGTTCAAATCAGATGACACTTGCATGTTCATTGAAACAAACTTCAAGAGGCAACACAGAACACATGGCAGACAAAAACTGAAAACGGAGGTTCGTTCTGCGGAGAATATGTTGGAACCAGCGCAGGCGAGCAACTCGGAGTTCCGCCTCAATGGTCGTAAGCCCAATGCCACTCAACACCTGAGTGTTGTCCCAACTCTTGTGTTCAATCGAAACTGTTTCATTCGCATGGGCAACTTCTGCCTTCTCGCACGCCTGGCCACGGAGGAGCTTGCGGCCCAGGGTGGCCAGAAACGGGGTCAGCCGTTTGTGGTCAGTGCCAGGCAAGACAACAGCAATGAGGCCAGATTCAAGCAGAGAGCTGTCAACAGCATGGAACATGAGAAGCTTGAACTGGAAAGAACATGGGCCATTCCACACTTCTCGAAACGAGAACCATGCCTTCCAGGCAGCAGAGATCCTCCAGTTGATCTTCCCCTTGGTCAAACCTCGATAGTTGATGCGCGGACCCAAATACCGGGCATCAGTGCGGTAAGAGTGGCAGGGTGAATGACCTTGTTGAGCCCCCTTGGAATCTTTGCCATGCAACGACCAAACCGTTTTTCTCTTTTCCGCGATTTTGAACCGCGTCGATGAGACCCAATGTTGTGTCAAGGCACCGAGACGCGCGACGTGATTCAGTGGGCATGCCAGTACAATGGGCACATGTCATACGAGAGGCAACGTCGTCAATGAAAGCAGTATTGGCATTGTTGACACATTACTTTGGGCTGGTGGCATCATGCACAACTAAATGGGCAACTGACTGAAGAGCGCCACGATCATAGCACTCCAAGGGCCCATCCTACACACATGGTTAGCAACAACAGAACCTTGAGGGACTACACCTTCCGCGCGCAGAAGCAACATCCCCTCGTGAGCATGAGATCGACATGAATGCATGAATCTGTGCTGCATTGAAATAGACCAAACGAAGTTGCCGTAGCGAAGGCGAGCACGAATACAATCGTTGTTGACTGACGGGTGAAAGTGTTTGACATCGTACAGCTTCAAGGCAGACGACAACCCACAACAATCACACCGATACCACGTGATAAGTTGGATAAGTATCGCCTCTTCCCGGCGCTTGTGAGGGATGCCATCGTACATGTTAGGTTTGCGTGGGTGCATGTGGTCTTGCTTATCACAAATCATGCCGACAATGAGCTTAGAAGGGTGAGAGAAAGCGTAGACAGTACGATAATATTGGAATGTGCGAGCAGGTTTAAAGTGAGACGCCGCCTTCTTGGGAACCTGAAGCGCCGAACTGGTCAGCAAACGAACAGGTAACGACCGAGTGGCATGGATGACAGCGAGCAACATGGTAACACAACATTGAGCTCCCGATGGGGAAACGAACGTGCCAGGATGCCCAACACCAAGCCCAAGCGTGGTGAGCGTCCGTTGCGGGTTGAGGTCAAACCGCCACATTTCAAGCGGGACCTCGTCGCAAGACAAGTCGTCGCGGTTCCTTACACGATGGGAACGTTTGGCAATGTCAACAACATGTTGCTCAGCATTCGCGTACAACATGCCAGGGTGAGCAGGCATGGCACTTGCCAGAATCTCGCGAGCAATCATTCCTCTGGGTTTTCTCTGGTGTATGAACACGTTGCTGGGGGAAGGCCAATAGTTCACCACCCACCAAACCACCCCAACCCAACCCGAAGGCCCAAATTTATCCTCGATTTCCAGTGGGGGGGGGTCGGGGAACGTCGAAAAAACACATGGTATCCGTACCCCCCCCAACCCGAAATTCGGGTCAAATTTGGGTCTTCGGGTTGGGTTGGGGTGGTCTGGTAGGTAGTCAAATAGTAGGCAGCCCACGATTCCTCCAGCGCCCCTTCCCGGCGAACGTGTTTGCAGTCCTTTGCAGAAGGGAGGTGCCGAGGACAGTACGGCACGCTACGCTCAGCCCGTGGGGGCCGAGTGCTTGCACGGGGCGGCGGTTCTGGTTGTGCCCCCCCGTGCCCGTGTTGGAGCGCTGCGGCCTTCGCTGCCGGTGCATCGCGGCGGGCAGCTCGAAAGCTGCCCTCGGAGGGTGGTGATGCCGTAGACGCGCTAACGGAGTGTTAGCTCACGGTAAAATAGGAAAACCAAGTGCAGGAAGGCGTGGTTCGTGGCCAGACCAGTTGTAGGAACGCGCGGTCCGTGTTTTCCCACCACTCGCTGTGTAGCTTTTGTTCGATACGTTCGCACATCTGAAATGCAGTAAACGGTGTTTCGTGATTTTCTGCATGCTGTTCTGCGTGAGCTCGGTGCCAACATCACCGGTAACCATCATCGCCGTTAGCGCGGCCTTGGTGATGCCATTTCGCCGGAACAGCCCGCAGCTCGCGCCGTCCGCATTGGCCGTCCTCGCATCGCGCTGGCCTGCGATGCCCGAGCACAGCTCTTGCTGACGTGCTGCGCGGTGCAGGAGGGAGGAGGAGGAGGAGGAGGAGGAGGAGGAGGAGGAGGAGGTAGTGCGTTTGACCCAGCACATGCTCCTTTCCTCCTCCTCCCGCCACCGTCTGACATAGGTCACAGTAATGAATGAGCGCGCAGTCGTAAAACATATCATTGAACAAGCCCTGATCTACTGAAGCGAGAAGCGGAGTTACTGAATTGCGCCGCCTTGCAAAACAAGACAAATCATCATTTACTAGACGCAAGAACTGGTCTACTAAATTCAAACATGGATGTTCTAATTCTGGGGCCGTTTTTCTAAATCCCAGATTTTAGACCTGAGTGGTTCGATCATCCCCCCTTCCACGCCTTCTATCCTCCGCCTTCTCCTCCTCCCCCTCACTCAAAGTCAGTCGCCAGACCTTGCCTGGTGCGTTTTGGCACTGGATTTTTCTGGGCGGCTCCAGCCGTTGCGACGAAAACGCCTTCATGTAGGCCCCCAGAAGAAAGGACATGTTACATGTTTGACGTGTCGCATAGATGTGGGTCGCACCGCTTTCGGGCGAGAACGGGCCGCGGAGCAGCAAATCGCGCGCCCGTGAAATGGGCGAAGCAAAAGAGCGGCAAGGCACGAGGATGCGACAGGAGGAGACACGACGAAAAGAAAGCATCCAAGGCATCAGACGTGCGAGCCGAGCCGGCATCTCCTCTCCCCCCTCCCCCCTCTCTCTCGTGGGGGCGGAGCCGGGCGAGCCCAGGACCCGGACGACCAGCTCCAGAGCGTCCCGGAGCGCCCTCGGAGCGCCCTATAGCGCTTCGGAGCGACCCCGCGGCGCCTACGCCCTCGAGCGTCGGTGGATTCAGAAGACGATCTTGGGAGCCTCTTATTGTCAGTTGGCTTGGCCTTCCTGCGCCTCCAGTGGTCCACAGTCGTTTGCTCGCGTCACTGGAGGCCACTGGGGGCTACGGGAGGCCACTGGAGGCCACTGGAGGCCGCGGGGGTGCCACTGGAGGAGACACTGGAGGCGTCTCCAGGCTCGCGGGGGGCCGCTGGGGTCCACTGGTGGCCACTGGAGGAGCCACTGCAGCCACTCAGGTGACTACGAAAGGCTCCCAGGAGCGTTTTCTGAAGGTGGAAATTGTAGATCCTAGCCTGTCCCTGTCTCGTCTTGACTGCCGTCGTTGAGATCCTCAGCCTGATCTTCGGCGCCGCTTGAAGATCTGCACGGTCTGGGAGCTCTTTGGCCGTCCCGAGGCTGCTTCCTCTGCCCTTCTTGCCCCATCTTCTGCTCTCGCCGTGATTCGCTACTGACGCGTCCCGCCGTTAGCCCGACCATTTCTGGGACCGAGCTCACCGCAGACCAGATATCATTATGTCCGGGCCCTGGCTCCGTCTCAGGTTGATGATGTTGGTGTTGATGATGTTCTTGCTGATGTTGATGCTGATGCTGCTTTGCTGATGGCGATGACGATGGTGATGATGGTGATGATGATGATGATGATGATGATGATGATGCTGATGATGATGATGATGATGATGTTGCTGCTGCAGATAATGACGAGGATGATGATGCTGAGGCTGAGACTGAGGCTGGGGCTGGTGATGCTGATGATGATGATGCTGATGATGATGATGCTGATGATGATGATGCTGATGAAGATGATGATGATGATGATGATGATGATGATGATGATGATGATGATGATGATGATGATGATGATGATGATGATGATGATGATGATGATGATGATGATGATGTGATGCGATGTGGTGTGATGTGGTGTGGTGTGGTGTGGTGTAATGTGATGTCATGCGATGTGATGTGATGTGATGTGAAGTTTGTGACGTGGTGATGTGGTGATGTAGTCCTGGCCTCGCCCTCGGGGAAGGCGCGGCGCGGCGCGGCGCCCGCCCAGGCTCTCTTCGAGGGCTGCGACGTGAGGGCCGCGGCGCGGGCGTGGGAGGAGGCGGACGCCTCCGGGCAGGCGAGGGGCCCGGGCACCCCTCCCGCGCCGGGCGGCCGCCAGGGGACCCTCCCCTCCTTCTCCCTCCTCCTCCCCTCCTCCTCCCCCCCCTCCTCCCCTCCTCCTCCTCCTCCTCCTCCCCCCCCTCCCTCCTCCTCCTCCTCCTCCTCCTCTCCTCCTCCTCCTCCTCCCTCTCCTCCCCCTCCTCCCTCCCCTCTCCCCTCCCCCTCCCCTCCCCTCCTCCCCTCCTCCTCCTCCTCCTCCCCTCCTCCCCTCCTCCTCCCCTCCCTCCTCCTCCTCCCTGCCTCCCTGCTGCAGGGGCCGGCCGTGCTCGTGCTCCGCGCAGCGCGCTCTGCGGAGCGCGCGGGGCCGCGCGTTCCCGTGCGCCGACCCCTCGGGGGGAGGAGAGAAGGGCGAGGAGGAAGCGGAGGAGGAGCCGCGGGCCACGAGCCGCGGACAGCTTCTGGAGTCTGTGCTATAGGCTCACGCCGCATCCGCCGACCCCCTCGGGGGGAGGAGAGGGGCGAGGAGGGAGCGGAGGAGGAGCCGCGGGCCACGAGCCGCGAGCAGCCTCTGGATTCTATGCTATAGGCTCACGCCGCCTCCGCCGACCACTCTATGCAAACTGCTGCGCGTCCAGGGCCGATTCCACGAGCCGCGGACAGCTTCCAGATTCTACAGTCAGGGCCCTGAAGAAGGAACCCTTTTCGTTGGGGAGGGGCTCCGTGTTCCTTAAGTGTTTCGCAGCTTGCCCCACGTTTCCCTCAGGTTTCCGGAGGGAAATCGAAGGTTAACTTCTGGAGAAAGGGGGCCTCGTTCCTTATTTAGGGTTCCTTAGGTCAACGCCGCGACTGTATGCTATAGGCTTACGCCGCATCCGCCGACCCCTCTACAAACTGCTGCGCGTCCAGGGCCGCATTCCACGAGGCCTGTCCGATGCCCGGGAGGTTCTTGGGGGCGTCCGGGGACGGCTTCTAGATTCTAGAGGCCTCTGAGATGGGGTCCGAGCAGGTGGGGTCGGAGGATCACGCCGTATCGATGTGGAGCTCGATTCTCTCCGCGCCGCCGGCGCCGAGGCATCGCCGACGTCGCCAATGCATCGCCGATGCACTGCCGGTGCATCGGCGATGCATCGGCGGTGCGGCGCGGTTCTCCGACCCCATCGTCTCGGACCCCATTTGGGAGGCCTCTAGAAAGTCCGGGACGGTAAAGGTCAGGAGGGGAAAAAACACAGACACAATTAATCCTCGATTCCCAGGAAAATATGGGAAAATATGGGAATTGGGGGGAAGACAAAAACCCAGAAAATATAGGAAAATACGGGGACTATTTTTATTTGTGTGTATTTATTTGTGTGTCCTAATTTCCCTTTAAAAGGGTGCGTGCGTCCCCCCCTGCCTGCGGATCCCGTGTTATCCTGAGTAGTCCCGCTAGCACGGAGTTTACACTCGGCTGGTGGTTGGACGCAGTTCGGTATCGCATATAGAGCTTGGTTCATGCTTCTGCGGCTCACGTGGAGTCTTCCTGCAGGCCCAGCTCAGGGGCGTGAGTAATCCGTGCCGCCCTCATCTTAGTAATTACCAAGGCCAGGCGCGGAAATCTCGATCGTATCAATACGGCCTCTCTCCCAATCCTGGAAATCCCTCCCCTGACATGCTCGCGCCGTGAGGCAGTCACGACACAAAAGGTTTCCTGCCGCTCTATGCCTCTGGGGGCCCTCGCCACGCCTCGGGCCCGTTACAAAGCGGCTCGGGATGGAAAACCAGCCCCCGGGACAGGGTCGGGAGTTTCGTGAACCCCGTGTTGAAAACATCAAGACGTCGCACGTCTGGGTTCATCCCCGCCTTTTCCCTCTGCGTGTCGCTGATGGGCCCATTTTCCACCACCACTACAATAGGTAGGAGAGGGAGGAGGAGGAGGTGGTGGAGGAGGAGGAGGACCTCCTAATCCTCCCTTCTCCCCCGTCCTACATATGGTAGCGATGGTGGAACATTTGCCCATCGGTCGCGGCTCAGAGAGCCGGCGCTCTGGTTCTCTGAGCCCGTGGAGTTTTTGGGGTTTTCTCCGCTCGGGGACGCGCGGGCCGCCGCCCGCTGCCCTCTCGCTGGTCGGCGGCCCTGACGGGGCTGGGGAGAGTCAAGCAGTGACGAAGCGTCCTGGCGTGCCTATAGGCCTACCAAGCAATTTTCTAAGAACCTTTTGTGGCTTACACGAAATGTTCTTAGAACATTTCTGGCTGGGACGACACTGTCATGTTTTATCACATTGGGATTATGTTCTAAGAACACTGCTTTGATTCTTAGAACATTTTTGGGTTCTAAGAACATTTCGTGGTAGGACTATAGGAATGCCTGGACGGTCGGTCCCTGCTCAACGGCTGATGGACCAGAAATCCTGCACCGTCCCCCTTGAGCAGCTCGCTCCCTCCGCCCCCTCTCTCGGGCGCGTCCTCCGCTCTTCCCCATACCTCCTGCACGGTGGCACACTTCGCTTCCACGGCATCCCCGTTTGGGCCGTGCCGCCGGCGCAGGCGACCCCGGCCTCGCCGCCGACGCCCCCCCTGCAAAGTCTGTGAGCACCCCCCCATCGCGCCCCTAAGTTGATGCTGGCGAGCTGCGCCGCGCCGTGCCGATCCCTCGACCGGACTACGTCCTGCGTCCCGCTGGCGATGCCAACCACCATTGGATCGGGGGCATGGGGGCGCGTTGACGTTTGCGCCTGCACCCCGTTCGCGCGGGTAACGCAGGAGTTTGTCTGTCAGCCGAAACGCGCCGCCTGGCTCAGCAAGGCATCAGGGGGCAAGCGGAGAGGTCTGGTTGCCGGTCTGGGGGGGGGTGCGCCGCCTTGTGCTGGGGGGGATGCTGCAGCATCGCCCAACGATGTGCTGTGTACCACCCCTCGATCCTTTTTCCCCAATCCGTGCTTCGGTACGGATCGTGAGCGCGCCTCGTCTCGATCGTCTTCATCTGCGTTTCGTCGTTGTCGTGGTGCGTGTCACTCAGCTCTCCTTTCGTCTCCGTTGCGCTGTCGCCACTGGCCACCACCACCACCACCTCGTCCCCCCTCCTCTCTTCTTATGTTTTTGTTGATGGCTAACGGCAGTCGGCTGGGACTGGAGCCGTCAGCGCTCCCCATGATCGCCCTTCGACGCTGACCGATGGCGGCAAACCTGAGTACACAGTGGAGACCCATGCCAAGAAGCACCCTGCTTGCCTCCAGGGTGGCCTGGGCTTCCTGGGCTCCGATGGTCTTACTGCGGAAGGCGTGACTCTCCCACACCGACAGTCCACGGACGCCCCCGGGCCTCAGGATTTGGTTTCTTGTGGAAGGTTTCCTGTGGTCGGGCCCCTGTTGTGAGGGGATCTCGTCCTCCTCCCTCCTCCTCCTCCTCCTCCTCCTCCTCCTCCTCCCTCCCTCCTCCTCCTCCTCCTCCTCCTCCCCTCCTCCTCCTCCTCCTCCTCCTCCTCCCCTCCTTCTGCCCTGTGCCCGTGCTCCTCCACAGCCTCCCCTGCGACCGCCCGGGTCGCGGCCCGCGCCTCGCCGCGGCCCCGCAAGTCACGCAGCTTTGCGCACGCCCCGGGCCCTGCGCTGTGTGCAGCGTGCCTCGCGCACCGAGCAGGACCGCCCTCCTCCCTGCCCCGCCCTCCCTCCCACCTCCCTCCTCCCCCTCCCTCCTCTCCCTCCCCCTTGCCCTCCCTCCCCCCTCCCCTCGTCCCTCCCTCCTCCCTCCCTCCCCTCCCTCCCTCCTCCCTTCTCTCCCTCCTCCCTTGTTCTCCTCCCCATGCCCTCCTGCCTCCCTCCGTCTTCCTCCCTCATCTTTACTCTTTGAGAGCTCGGAGGGAGCTTGTGTGAGTGGGGGGCGGAATAATCGGGTTCCGTGGGGAGCGGCTGGGGCCAGGGCAGCCGCTATCCTTGATGTGCAAGGACGCTCTTTGAGGGATCTGGAAGTGACGACGTCGGAAGTGACGACGTCGACGTCGACGACAAGAGTAAGGGATGGATGGAGTAGAGGATGGTGGTGATGCTGATGAAGATGAAGAGGATGATGAGGATTGTGATTCTGATTATGTTGAAGAAGAAGAAGATGATGATGATGATGATGATGATGATGATGATGATGATGATGTGGAGGAGGAGGAGGAGGAGGAGGAGGAGGAGGAGGAGGAATTATTTGAACTATTTGACTAAGCACTGGTCGTGCGCAGGGGAAAGGGAGAGCTAGCCGAGGCCTCGCTGCACCAACACAGCTTTGAGCTGCGAGGGCACACCCTCTCGCCTCGGATACAGGCCCTTATCGATGCGTGCGAGGTTCTCCCGAGTTTCTCGGGTGATGGACTCGCACGGAGCTTCTAAATGTCGGCCGATCAGGGTAGCGTATTTGCCACAATTCGCACAGCACGTGAGACAACACTTGTCCCACATTTGTGGCCAGCGGGGCTGGTGGATCTACTTACCAGCAGCCACCATGCTTTTACCCCCCGGACCAACATCACCAGACGGGAGGAGGCTGTGGCATGGGGACGTCGCCACCTCGACAATCTTCGACGAAGGGACCACAACTTTGCACAAAACACGCTTGAATTTACGGCCACACTGAACACATTGATGATCAGAGGCAGCAGCTGCACGAGAGAGGGCGGTGGGGGCGTGTCTCCTCTCCTTGGGCAGCCTCTCGCCGCTCCAAGAGTCCGCTTCGATTGCCAACTCGAGTGCTTTGCGAGCCCTGGCTCTTATCAGCACCCTAGTGGCGTCCCGCCCATCCGCCTCCACCGAGTCGACACGACACTACACCAACCCTCTCCCGCCGCCCGACCCGCCCCCCCCATCAGCCAGGGCGTTGCCCTGAATTAGAAACGGTTCGATATCATTCTCTGCCGCCGCCGTGTGCGAAGGGATACAACTGATCCACACATCGTTTGGGGAGAGATCTCCCAGGGCAACCCTGAGGCGACGCCACAAGTCCTGATTCGAGCCATCCTTGGATCGAACTCTGCCAGACAGCCACGCACGCAACAAAGGCT